ATGTTTTTATTTATTTTTGGGACAGAGAGAGACAGAGCATGAACGGGGGAGGGGCAGAGAGAGAGGGAGACACAGAATCGGAAACAGGCTCCAGGCTCTGAGCCATCAGCCCAGAGCCCGACGCGGGGCTCGAACTCACGGACCGCGAGATCGTGACCTGGCTGAAGTCGGACGCTTAACCGACTGCGCCACCCAGGCGCCCCAGATAAACTTTTAAATGAAGTTTCAAAATCTGATGTGAATACTTACTTTACAACTTTGCCATATTTGGAAAATATCTGAAACAAAAGACCACAAAATAATTTACAAGTTAATTTAAAATCATAAGAAACATTAAATTTTCAGGTTGTATAAATTGACCACATTCTTTGTTAAAGCTTGCGAAAACTTTTAGTCTTTATTCTATAAAGCAGGCCCAGGGAGATAGAGAAACAACCCCACTCTTTATGTGTGGAACACTGAAGGCGCACACTGCACAGCTGCTGTGTCTCTGTGGCATATCCATGGCAACTATCAACCCCACCACAGCCCTAGAGAAACCATGTGCTGTAAATATCAGCGCTGTGGGATATCATTATTCCTAGCCTACCCCATTAAGCAATCACTATTTCAGAAGACAGATCCTTAGACTGCTTAGAAAACAAAACATAAAACAGAAAGCTTCTGTAATGAAAAATCCATTCCCATCAGTCTGTTTTTCCGCCCATCCTTTCGTTGGTAGTTCTTTATACCTGGGCCCTATCTTTCCTTTTACTTCTGCATTTTCACCCTAAGCAATCTTATCTATTTCTGTTTCAGCCATTACCTATATACTAATAGTTCCTATTTATTATGTCTTAGAAAAGCCTTTCAGAATACATTGATGTCTACACAATCAATAAATTGAGTTTTATCATTAAGTTGTGTAATCCTGGAATGTAGTATAACTGGACTGCAGTGTTAGCAACACTGAATTTTGAAGACCAATACAGTTTTCTGTATAACACTTTCTAATGGCTTCTCATTTCACTCAGAGTCCTTACCATGATGTATGTAGGCCCTACAAGGCACCCCTGCACGGTCTTACCTCCCTCTGATTGCCCTTCCTCTTCTCTCCACTTGATTTACTTTGTGCCAGAAATGCTTTTCCCCTAGACATCCACACAGCTGTTTTTTACTTTCTTTAGGTTTTTATTCAAAAGTCACCTTCTCAATAATGGCTTTAGACTGTCCCTGTAAAATTTTACCTCCATTCCCGACCTAACATTTAATAACCTTTTATTTTTTTCAAATGTTTATTTAGAGAGAGAGAGAGAGAGACAGACAGACAGAATCCAAGGCAGGCTCCAGGCTCTGAGCTGTCAGCACAGAGCCTGATGCGGGGCTTGAACTCACAAACTGTGAGATCATGACCTGAGCCAAGGTCGGACGCTTAATCAACTGAGCCACTCAGTCACCCCTGGCCTCCTTTTACTCCTCAGCACCTAACAGCATTAATTTAGTATCCAAATGATAATATCATTTGACTTTTTTATATTTCACATCTTTTTTTTTTTTTTTTTTTTATCTTGCTATGTTATGAGTCCCAAGATAGATTTTCATCTTTTTGTTCATTGCTGTGTTCTTGGTACTAAGAGCGCTCAGCATAGGTTAAGTTTTCAATAAATACAGACACATCTCTATTTTGACGCAAAAGAAGCTGGAGTTCATTTTCTCCTCTGTTCTTTGAGACGAAAGCTATCTCAATTAAGTAACTAATCAAATACTATGTATCACCTATGCAGCATCTCTGTATTTAACATCCACCCAAAGAAGCAGAGTAGAGGGCACACTTGGAAGAAAGGATTCATGTTATTCCTTCCATTTCCTCTCAACTACTCATCTGCAGGACAGGGACAGCAGGAAATTTTGTTCTCTGTAAGGTGGAGAGGAGAAAGAAGATGTTGGATTTTCCTCCCTCAATCACCCCTATCCTGAATTGAAAATAACATTTATTAAACTGTTAAATTTCAACCATATATATAAATTTAAATACCCTTTCAGAATTTGAGGTTTAGTAAAGGGGTCTGTTTGCTTTTATCAGCCCTTTCATCCAAAACCTCTATTCCACCAATCTCAAAAACTCCAATTAGCAATCAGGAAAAATCAGCCTATCATAAGTTGCTCCCACTTCATTATGCTATCTGTGTCTTCTGTGTTTATAACGAACTTGTTATTCTCACTACAAACTTTCCTTGGAAATTATATAAATGTCAATTTTTTTTACTTACTCATGTTTGCAACAGAGGTCTTTGCTATTCATGACTTAAGTACATTGTAATGTAGTAAGAATTTTGCCAAAGAGAACTGTTTGCTTAAGCTACATTTGTACCTCAGACAGAGAATTCAGTAGATAGTTGTACTAAAAGTTACTTACCCGGTATAAGTCATTGTTGGTCAGGGAAAAGGGCAAGTTGGATACATACACCGTGCTTTTACTTGGGGCCAATCCACCACTCATTTCTAAAAAGGAAAACAAACCACAGAAGCAATCTAAACCAGGTATTCTTCATTCCAACCAAAACCAATATGGACAATCAATGATGTAATTATGCTAGATTTAATACACCTTCCTCACTTTTTAGGATTAGAAGCAATGACTCTAGCTGGATGAATTAAGGAATTTCTTCTCCCCAGACACCACTCAAAAGAGTTTTCTGGTCTTTCTTTTAAGTAAAGGCTTTACACTAACCATTCCAGTGCTGGATTATGGTGTGAAGGAAGAATGAATTTAACAGATGAATAAAAAACCGAGGCTGAACTTAACCTTCTCTCAGGCTAAGAGCAAGAAAGTGCTTTTCCATAAGGTTTCATACCTTGCCCACCACATAAGAACTTGGTAGTTCTGAAGGAACCTTAGCCACTCATTTTCACTAATGCTTTGGATTTCGGTACCTTTTTGGTTGTTTTAATATTTTTCTCTAAAGTGGTGTTAAGAGAAAATGTTAGCCTCATATTCTGATGGTGTAAAGTTCTTTCAAATCATTAATTTTGTATATTATTGCTAAATAATTGATACATTTTACTACATGAATAAGTTTCAGTACCTTGAAAGATACTGACCTGTATATGTACCTTAGTTTACAAATATAATTTGTCATTAATTTTCATTGCATATTTTACAAAACAGATTATCTGTGAAAATTATATCGTACTCAACCAGGTTCAAAATTTCGATTTAAAAAGCCTGTGTGATGTGTACTTGAGAGGGGGGTAGGGGACATCACAAACGGCAAAATATTGACTGTAAGGCATGCGAATTCGCGGATTAGTGGGAGAACTGCTAGATGCTGCTTGAGATGTTTTTGGGGAATTTATTAGACAACTTCAGGAACTCAACATCTTCAAAGTTTCCCGTTTGAAAATATACGTTAGCCATTCTGGTGAGAACTGCGAAGGGCGGGCAATGATAAATGGCCCGGAATAATAAAGGATGGCGGGGGAGAGGGGTAGATCGTTTGGGCGGCCGGGTCCGGGTAGGGGCTCACTGGGAGAAAGCCCGCAGCTGAAGAGTCGTTTACCTTGAGGTGGGGCGGGCCGGAAAGACTAGACCGCGAGCCCTCCACTCAGCTGGGCTCAACCCCGACTCTTCCTCGTCCCCCGCTGGGGCCTGGGCATCCCGGGTCCTGGGAGGGGTCAAGCGCCGAAAAGTAGGAAAGCAGCGACAGCAACGCCTCTTCCTGGCGGTAGCTAGACCCAAGCACCGGAGGCGGGCCTAGAGGCGGGCGCTCTTGCTTACGTCCTTGAGCGCGCCGGAAGTGCCTGCTTAGGCGAGCGGCGACGAGCGGACGACTACATTTAAGGGGTCTCCCGGTAGCCCAGAGTCGGTGAGCGCCTTTTACCTTTCTGAGGTGTACGGGGCCGAGCGCGCGGGCCGTTACGCCCAAGGAGAGCAGGCGGGCGGGTGTTTTCTGTGGCGGGACTTGGAGACTCCCGTTGCATTTGAATCGTGCCCTTTCGGTTAAGGCTGTGGACACGCAGTGGAGTTTGGAATAAAGGAAACTGTTGAGTCTGAGGCACAGGTTTGCTTCTCTTTAGCTCCTTATTATGCAGAAAGAGGACTGAACTATGTAACTTAAGTGACTCAAGATGAGTTAGGAAGTCGATAAATTTATAGAATGTGTTCGATGTACCCAGTTCAGTCTTAGGCACTTTGAGAGCTACAAAAAAAAGTGTAAAACAGGCCTTTTTCTGGCGGATATCTCAGTCTAGTTGGGAGACAAGGTCAACTTGAATTCACAGAATGACTCATCTTGAGTGTTGATATGGACAGATGTTGGACTTCTTGGCGCCTTTTTTCGTCCTGTAAATCTGTAATGGGCTCGCACTGCTTTTTCTCTTGAGAGGAGGTAAACAGGCCCATCATTCCTACAGAAAAATCAGAAACTAATGCGAGGTAGTTTATACTTCTGCCCACCAGCACACACAGACCAGGCCTGTAACCATTACCTGGGAGTCTGCGTGCCAGCAGCCTGGAATCTAGAGCCTCTCCTGGAGTCTGCACAATCAATCCAGATTGAAGTCTATGTCTTCTAGAAAGAAGGGAGTGCATCCAGGGCGCAGCTGAATTTTGAGAGGCCCGAATGCCTCCATGTCCGCCAGGGGACCGCTGGGACTAATTCTCTTGGCAAACTTGTGGCCAGCCAAAACTACCATGTTTCACATCCCCGTTATTCTTGGTTACCGCCCAAGATGTAAGCCCCTTTGGTCTTCTATGCTACACCCTCATTCCCATGCTGCTTTGTACTTCCTCTCCCTTGTTTTAGGCTATCACTGCTTCTCCCTCCTTTTCTTACACATTTTGCCCCTCAACACAACAGCTGAGCCCACTGAAACTTCTAATTCCCTGCCTAACAAACTCTTACGTTGTCAACCTCTTTATGGAAATTCTTTTATCTCCTGACCATTACTAACACTTGGCTTTTGCCTTCAGCCCTTTCAGTTGAGCCCTTTTTCTAACACCTGCATTTAAGGTTAAGTGATGGCTCTTGCCATACAGAACCAATTTCACTTCCTCAGAATATTTTTCCTGCCCCCAGGGTTTTTGTAGAGGTTCTTTTCTCTCTGCAGCATTTGATTTCTCTGACCTTTCTTCTACCTCTTTGTGGATAATTCCTACACCTGCTAAAGTTTTCAGTTTTCCTTTGATTTTCTCTGAGGAGTATTTTGTAAATGGCGCCCCCCCACCACCGAGAGACTTCGGTACCCTTGCCATGTGCTAAGTGCCCTCAACTTTCCTCCTCATAGCACTGGACACATGTATCATATTTAATTGCTTCTCTCTTTGCCTTCTCTACTAAGCTAGGCTGTGGAGGAGGGACTGTTATTTGTCTTGTTAATTTTTGTAACTGGTGCCTAATAGGCAGGTCTTTCCTTCCTTCCTTCCTTCCTTCCTTCCTTCCTTCCTTCCTTCCTTCCTTCCTTCCTTCTCTTTTTTCTTTTCTTTTCTTTTCTTTTCTTTTCTTTTTAAATGTTTATTTATTTTTGAGAGAGAGAGACAGTCAGCATGAGTAGGGGAGGGACACAGAGAGAGGGAGACACAGAATCTGAAGCAGGCTCCAGACTCTGAGCTGTCAGCACAGAGCCACACTTGGGGACCTGAGCCGAAGTCAGATGCTTAATTGACTGAGCCACTCAGGTGCCCCCAGGTATTTCTTTGATTTCAGTTGCTGCAGGTAGTCTCAGAAGTCAAGCAGTTGACATGTCCTTTGACTTTAAAATGGAAGAAGCTTTGGAAAGGGGTCGGCTGCTATTTAGCTTCAGCTGATAGTGGCTGTGTGAACATGATCCCAGTGTTGCCAGAGCAAGTAGTTGTTTCAATAACAGTTGGAAACATGGTTTTTAAAAGTGATCTCTGCCAGTTAAGTGTTGTCAATGGAATAAAGTTTTATAGAAAAAAACAAACAAACCTGGGTCAGACATGTGTCATGTGGCCTTCCAGTCACCAGTTTGGAATCTGCTTTAGTGTTGGTATGGTATAGAAATGGGCTTTGAGGAGAATACTAGATTTTGAGCTGAGTCTTCATGGTTGGTTTGAAGTTGAATGAGAGAATGGAAAGAGGTATTGTAGTTTGGAAAATATGTCAAACAGCTCCAGGCTGGTGTGTGTTACTTTGTGGCACAGTGAGGAAGCTGGCATGAATGATCTTTTTGGAGAGAACTAGAGTTTAGGTGAGAGGATAGAAGGATCATATGAAGGGCATAGGAGTTTGGATTTGTTACAGTTAGTTAATGTGAAAAATCTGGATTCTCGATCAGGGAAACTTCAAGTGTGGATGATGTATCAGCAAAGTTAACTGAATATCCCTTTTTAAAGGTGAAATAGAGGGTGAAAGACTGGAAGGAGGCTGATCAGTTAAGACTGAAGTGCAGTAAGATTTAGATTTGTAAGCATAGATAGGCAAACATCTGGTATTTTTGTCTACTTGTATAATTTCAGTTACTTGATCATTTACACTGAACAATCAGGAATTTCCTAAGCATTTAATACATTGCAGTGGGGCTTACATAAGAGGTATCCTTAAAGCACTGAAAAGTAAATTGTGAAACTAGTAATGCAGCACTTTAAGTTATATGGTTATTCTGAAGCAATCAGTGGTCTCCTTACCTTTAGTCTCTTTCTTCTTTAATCTATTTTGTATACTGCCAGGTCAGTCTTCTGGAATGACATTTTTCTTGCAACTTATTTCTAGACTTAAAAGCCTACAGTGAACTTCTCTAGCTTTTTCCTCTGAGCATTTAATGCCCTTGAATTTGTTCTGTCTTTGCCTGTTACCTTTGTGAAGCAATGCGATATGATGGAAGGGGCTTGGGATTTAAAGTTATGCATACATGGGGTGCCTGGGTGGCTCAGTTGGTTGGGCGTCCGACTTTGGCTCAGGTCATGATCTTACGTTTCAGGAGTTCGAGCCCCGCATCGGGCTCTGTGCTGACAGCTCAGAGCTTGGAGCCTTCTTTGGATTCTCTGTCTCTCTCTCTGCCCTTCCCCTTCTCATGTTCTGTTTCTCTTGCTCTTAAAAAATAAATAAGCATAAAAAAAAAAAGTTATGCATACTTGACTGATTCCAGGCTTTGGCTCTGTGATTTGAGCTTTTCAGAGCCTCTGTGCTTTATGTGGGATAGGAGAGATAATATCTACTAAAGGGAAGAAAATGAAAGCCTGTTATTCCTGTGCAGGCTTTTTTCCCATTCCTTTACAATGCAGATCTGCTTTGGTCAGTTCCATCTTTCTCAGGCACATCTTCCATAATAATTCCTTTACCTTCTTTCAGATTCTACCATCATACATCCACATTTGAGCAATCTCTCAAGACTTTAACTTTTCTTGGCTTTTTAAAAATTTTTTTTCCATATTTGTTTATTTATTTTGAGAGGGAGAAGGGTGGGGGAGAAAGGGGCAGAGAGAGAAAAGAGAATTCCAGGCAGGATCCATGCTGTCAGTGCAGAGCCCAGTGTGGGCTCGAACTCACTATACGTGAGGTCATGACCTGAGCCAAGATCAAGAGTCCATCGCTTAACCGACTGAGCCACCCAGGCGACACTCTTGACTTTAACTAACTTTCCTATGCTTCTCTCTCCATGACCATTGAACAGTGATTAATTTTAGTAGATATTTTGCTCTATTTTGACCATGTTAACTGGCATTCGTGTTAGTTTTTTTTTTTTCCCACAGACCTTCAATATGTTCAAAAAGACATTTTTAATTTAGTTCTGGAATTTTAAACATTTTTCTTTTTTTTTTTTTTT